CCATGTTAATCTCTGAAACTGAAGTCATGAAAATAAAATCCCCCAAAGCCATTCAGAAATCAAGATGTCATGTGAAATGGCTTTTTACTGGACAAAATGACAGCATCTTTGAAAAGGTGGTCTTTATATTCCAGGGGTCATGGTGGGGAGCCCATCCTTTTCAGAGGTGAGTAGCCAATACTCTGAGGATGATCAGAGCTCAAAGAATCAGTAAAAATGGCATCTGGCTTATCTACACAGCAAAGCTCCACGAAGGAAGAGTAGGAGCTTGTCAATGAGAATGACAGGGGGAAAAAAACCATTAAGAAAATGTTGAAAGCTAAAAGCTGATCTAGGCCATAAATTTAAAGTTGCATTTGCTGAGTTTTCTTAGGAAGTATGAACACAGGAAATTATGAGTGCAGGTAAATACCAGACTCAGGCTACAACTTCTTCCCAGCACATGGGATGAAATGTCATAGAAAGGCTTCAATTTCATTGCTATGCTGAAGTAACCTGAAACCAGGAAAACTACCCAAAATTCACCATTGATGGCATCATGAAACTAAAGGAAAACACAACAGTGATGCTCTTTGTTTAGCGTAATCCAACTGTGGGTCTCACACCTCTCAGTGAGTCTAACTGCTGAGAAGAGAAAGCCACGGCGTAGAGGGTAAAACACCACACATCAGACTTCTCCTGGGACTGCTCATCTGCAGGTCTCCCCTACATATTTGGTTTTCTAAATTAAAGAACAGAATTACTATCACACTTGTGAAGATAAGGATAGTATCAATGAGTGGCTATAGAGGATATGTTTTTATTGTTTGTTTTGTTTTTCCTGGCTAACCCCACATTTCCCTCTTCTTCTAGTTAAAACAATTTCTCCTTTTTGAAAAGTGCTCCTAAACATGTGAAGTTTGCCAGAATATTGGCCCCCACTGCCGCTGAGCTGGCCTAAAACATGGGCTGAGTTAATGCTCCTGGCCAAGATATTGGTCCACAACGGGTACCTGACCATACCAAGGGTTTTTAACTTCATGTTCACGCATGGGGTTCAGAGAGACTATAAGCGCCCCTGAAATCATATGTAAATTTTTACAGGTAGGCACCTATATACATTTTTTCCTGAGGAGAAATATGAGCTAATGTCAGATTTTCAAAGGAGTCACTGACCTAAAAAAAAAAAAAAGTTAAAAAGCAGTGCGTCTAAACAAAGAGCAGGAGGATTAACCATAAACCTTACGTGACTCTTTCATAAAAGCATTAGGCACAAACAGCTGTAAACATCCTTGCTTCCAACACCAAGTAGTCTTGTTATGTAACAAGGTTCTCTACCTGTATTATGCCAGGCAACAAGCTTACTGTGCACTTTGTTTTACAAAGAGCTCACCAGAAGTACTTGATGTGCAACTCACTGATGTGAACAGAGTATTCATTTACATTGGTCCCTCGACGAGACAGCATGATGAACTTTTAACTGATGCTACTCTGCCCTTTCCATACCCTGTGATCACAGATTACGATCCACAATTAATTGAACACTTTTAGCTGCAGAACATAAATCTAGCATTGAAATCAGATTCCTGATTCTAGTTTTTGACTTAAAGGCAGCTCTGCTGGGCATTTCACCAAACTTGTTCAATTCTTTGGTTCTCTTAATTATTATGAGTTTAATCAGTTAATTATTATTATTATTTTAACTTTATATGCAATTGAATTCACTTTTGGGGGGTGTACCAGCAATCTGCTCCCGAAAAGATTACAGCCTAAGAAACCCTATAGGGAAGTTCTACCCTGTCCTATAGGGTCATTATGACTTGCTGGCACACAACAACAAGAGTCCTCTAAGTTTTAATACATGCAAAGATTCTAATAACCACCACTACTACCAGGATACAAAACAATTCCAATATCCTAAAGAATTCTGTCATGATACCCTTTCGCAGCCAGACCTTTCTCCAATTCCTAATCTTTAGCAACTACTACTGATCTGATCTCTGATCCTACAGTTTTACCTTTTCCAGAATGTCACATAAATGGAAGCATATAATATGCAACCCTTTGAAATTCACTTCACTTAGCATAATCCATCCGAAATTTATCCATGTTACTGTGATATTGATAGTTTGTTCCTTTGTATTACTGAGCAGTATCCCATAGTATGGATGTTCCACAGTTTGTTATCCATTCACCCAGTGAGGGAGATCTGGACTGTTTCCAACAATGCTGCTACAGACACATACGTGTACAGTTTTTCTGTGTGGGAATGTAAGTTTTCATTTCCCTGGTATAAAATACTCAGAGTGAGACTACTGAGTCATATAGTAAGTATACATTTAATTTTGTAAGAAACTACCACACTGTTTTCCAGAGCAGCTAAACCATTTTGCATTCCCACTACCAATTTATGAGAGATCCAGTTGCTCTGCATCCCTGCCAGTACTTGGTATTGTTGGTAATTTTAATTTTAGCCATTCTAGTAGAAGTCCCTGGGTGGCATAAATGGTTAAGCACTTAACTACTAAGCCGAAAGGTTGGTGGTTCAAGCCCACCCAGAGCGGCCTCAGAAGACAGGCCTGGTGATCTGCTTCTGAAAGTCACAGCCTTGAAAATCCTATGGAGTAGTTCTACTACACACACATGAGGTCGTCATAAGTCGCAATCAACTCGATGGCAACTAATATCAACAATAAGTATGTAATGGTATCTCATATGGTGGTTAATTTGCATTTCCACATGTTCAAATTTGATTTCACCTTTGCCAGCACTGCTTAAGAAATTTTGAACAACAGAAACTTCAGGAGTGCATGGAAAGTATGCAAAAATATCAAAGTGGTTCCCTCCTATTAAAGACAAAGAAAGTAAGAGAAGGGAAGGACTTTCCCAAATTTTTCACCTGTGCTTTTTCTGATACCTCTTTTTAATCATGGATACATGTATAAACTACCCAATTCCCTTCTTTGAACAAGACAAAACAAAACCAAAAAATCACCATAGCCCCACAAATAACTACATAATACAGTTCCACCTTGATAGACATTTATAAAAGTTAACTAGAATAAACATTGCCATACCAATGGCAATACTAACGGCAGAGCTAAAGTTATTAAGGTCCACTATTGTTGTTAGTTGTTTCCAACTACTGGTGACCCCATGTATGCAGAATAGAACTGCTCCCCAGGGTTTTCAAGGCTGTGACTTTCCAGAAGCAGATCACCAAGCCTGTCTTCCAAGGAAGCTCCGAGTGGGTTCAAACTACCAACCTTTTGGCTAGCAGTTCAGCATCTAACCATTTGTGCCACCCAGGGACTCCCCTAAAGTCCAACATTAAGTTTCTGAAAAGGTACTCATGCCTCTATATAGATATATCTCTGTATATATGGATGGATGTGTGTGTGTGTGTGTGTGTGTGTATGAAATTTGAAATATTCTGATCTCTAGATGTTAGCAATGTAGAGGTTTCCTGGACAATACATAAACAAAAAAAAAAAAAAAGGACAAGTGTTTTCTTCCTTGATTTGATTTTACAATCAACACTTTCTTTTGTATTTTTTGTGTTTCACCTGGGCAGGCCTGTCCTGACAGTATGCTCATCTCGACCAAGTGGTACACCACTCCTGGGGTTGATCACTGTTAAAAATCACTGGATTTAAGAGAAGCAAAGCTAAAAAATATCTGTTACCCATTCCTCTATGGGAGAAAGAATAAAGTTATCTGATGGGTCTTTGACAGCTGGAAGTGAGCATCCCCTGACTCAGCCCCTCTGGGCATTTCTCCTCAGGATCTGCTCACCCGCAGAGAGGGTGAGTGCTGATGTATTCTCCCTACATAACACAGTAACCCAAGCTGGGTGGACTCAACCTCTGTGGGGCAGTCCTGTGACTGTCCAGCTCTTTCAGAGTTAAAGTATACGCAAACCCTTTCGGCAGCAGATCTAATGCCAGTTGTCCAAGGTAGCTTTCATCAGTAATAAAGCAAACATTTTGATCTCTGTGACTCCTAAATCTTTCAATTATATTTGAACTCAAGAAGGAAAAAAACCCACTGCCATCAAGTCGATTCCGACTCATAGAGACCCTATAGTACAGAGTAGGGCTGCCCCGTAGAGTTTCCAAGGTTGTAAATCTTTATGGAAGCAGACCACCACATCCTTCTCCCACAGAGCAGCTGGTGGGTTCGAACTGCCAACCTGCTGGTTAGCAGGAAAGTGCTTAACCACTGGGCCACCAGGGCTCCTCTGGGAAAGAGGGTGTTATTTATTGGACCCCAGGTAAATATTGTATTTCATTTTAGAAGATACAAAAAATCATTAACATTTGGTAGATGTCATCTGCTCCAAGAGTAATTATGTGGGAAAATCCCTCTCTGAATTAAGAGGAATATATAGATATTTGTTACACCAGTGTTTTTAACAAAGTGAAGCTCTTTCTTCAATGAAATCTTATACGGAAGGTCAGTAGATAGAATAAGTGAGAGTGACAGTCCCTGGCTAAAGAAGTGTGGGCATTTCCCAGAGCTCATCCTGCTCTATGCTCCCTGCCCTCCCCCTGCCACCCGAATCTTTCTTTTTCTCCAGCTCCACGGAATCTCTAAAGAACTTCAAAATACAATAATGAAAACCCTGTCTTCAATAATTAAACACTATAAAAAAACAAAAATGGTTACTCTGGCTACTCTTTTCATGAAGGATGGGTCACTTTCTATGATTGAGAGAGCAAGCCTGAAATCCAGACCCAGAGGACGGTGATGAGCCATTCTCTACTTTAAATGAAAGACTGAAAATAACTCCAAAGGTGCTTCCTTGGGTGCTGTCACTACAAGAACAGGGAAACAGCTCATTCAAACAAGTATATGGACACTTTGCTACAGTAAGTAATTATAAGATTTACTCAGCTACTGTGGAAGACCTGAAGACAATGACCACATCCTTAATTAATATAAAAGCAGCCCCATTAAAAAAAATAACAAAAAAAATAAAAACAAAAAACTCAGAATTTGTTGGTCATATAAATTCTCACCATGCAAAGTCTGATCTGTCCCCAACACATTCCACTCTGCTGGCAGCTTCAGGTGTCTGAATGCTAGTGCTACCTTCTCATCGAGGGAATTCACGTCCCCAGATGGAGGTCCTGACCGGTCAAGAAAACGAGTGAAGTTCAGAGCCTGCTGGTTTCCAGCGCTGGTTGCCAGGAACTGGGCTGCATCATATGCCTCATCTTGGATGAAATGAAAGTCTTCTTCAGCCACCACAAACACAGGAAGCCCCTCTTTGGAAGCACAGAGCAGCACCTTCACTGTCTCACAGCAGTCATGACCTAAAGAAAACACAGGCAGCAAAGAAAATGGCGTTAAGAGTCCTCTGCTGAGGGAAGGGCACTGGTGGGCAGTGAGCTCTTCTTCAATGCTCTACCAGCTCCTGCTCCAAAGAGAAATCCCTCCTTCCTCTGAACCCTCACAGCATTATTCTAAACTTCTTCAAACGTCATTTTCAGTTGTTTTATTGTTATTTGCATATATGAAATACTTCCTTAACAAACAGCAAATAACTTTATATCTCACCTGTTGCCATGCCTATAACATCGAGTGTTTGGCAATTAACAGGCCCTGAACAAATCTGAACAAATTAAAGAAAGGAAGAACAAGGATCCAGTGATGCCTAGCACACAACAGGAAATCTAATACCTATTATCCAGAATTAATCTGAAAATGCAATAGGGAAAAAAATCACTCCTACACGTGACATAGGAGGAATTTTATGGATTCCCCAGAACTTGCCTTATCAACATAATGCAACAGATCAAATGAGAATGTGATAAAGTACTTTGAAAAGTATAAAATTATATACATGATTTTATTATGACAGTGAAACCTGTGAGAGCTGGAACTTGACAGGACTGCCTTGTTTTTCCAGCCTCACAGGTTTTCTGCCTTTGACAGGTGCAGTCTTAACCACTTTTCTATCATTGTCTATCAGTGGGAAATACTTGAGTTTTTCTTCTCCGACAGGTTTCTGCCTTATACAGGTTCCAGCTTTCGCAGGTTTTACTGTAATAGCAATCTAAGGCCTAGAAAATAATTTTTGTTCTCAGATGCATGTTCTTTCGTGTCTCAACCACTAATATAGTGAAGACTTCAAATAAAATCACCTGGTTCACAGAATGCTGATGCAATACTGTGGCTAGAAGCCCAGTTCAGGGAAAGCAAACATGCCAAAAACTCTGTGGTGTCCACTGCACAGACTAGCAGAGACCAAATGAGCCGCAAATTTAGGCAGCAAGCTCAGCCACTCCAAGGAGTCAAATCAGCAAGTTCTATCCATACTGTTTTTCTATAGTTAAGGACTTCTTGGGGAAGCAGGCTTCCTTCTGGATTTTTAGCCTCACAGAATATGTGGAATGTACTCATCAAAACACATACTGTTTTCCTTCAACTTTCACCAAACACTGATCTCAACTTGCCAAAACTATGCTCCTGCTATTAACATCCTTCTTACCTTCCTGCTGAGAAAAAGGAAGAAGAAACTGAGCTAATGTTTTTATTGTTGAGTTGTGCCACCCTGTGCCTTGCCTGATTAACCACAGGCACCTGTGCACCTGCCAGTCAGCTTTCCCTGAATTCATCACCCTGCAGAAACTGTTCTTCCACTGCAGGAGCAAGGTGGAGGGAAATCCCTGTGTGGTCCATATCATGGGCACAGGCCAGGAGAGGTTTCAGACTGTGGCGGCACAAACTAAGCTTTCTGCTGCCTTTGAAAGAAAAAATATTTTTTCTACCACATTATCAATCAGAATAATAATTAAGTTGATTTTCCACCTAATTTTACCCCAGGATCCTCCTAAAGCCCTTCATCTGTGACAGAAGAAATCTCTCATTGCTATGTAATTCCAGGGTAACAAGAAGTATTTACTAACCAAGTACACAGGACAATGCCAGGCATTTGACATGTCATTTTCTCTATGCAATAAATTTATGAGGTATGTATTGTCCTCAATTTACAGATGATTACTTCAAGAAGTAATGGAAACCTGAAAGGGAAATTAGGGAAACAATTCCATTTACAATAGCATCTAAGAGAACAAAATACATAGGCATAAATCTAAACAGGGATGTGAAGGACATATACAATGAAAACTATAAAACACCAGTGGAAGAGATTAAAGAAGACTTAAATAAATGGAAAGATGTTCCATGCTCATGGATTGGAAGACTTAATATTGTTAAGATGTCAATACTACCCAAAGAATCTATAGCTTCAATGCAATCCTTATCAAAATTCCAACAGCCTTCTTTACGGAAATGAAAAACCAATCCTCAACTTTATACGGAATGGCAAGAGGCCTTGGATAGCTAAAACAATGTTGAAATAGAAGGAGAAAGTAGGAGGCCTCAGACTTTCTAATTTTGAAACATATTATACAGCTACAGTAATAAAAACAGCCTGGTACTGGTGTAACAGTAGACACACAAACCAATGGAATAGAATTGAGAGTCCAGAAATAAACCTACACATCTACAGTTAACTGATCTTTAACAAGAGTGCTAAGCCCATTCGATGGGGAAAGAAGAGTCTCTTCAATAAATGATGCAGGGAAAACTGGAAATCCACATGCAGAAAAATGAAACAGGATCCATGCCTCACATCATACGCAAGAACAAATTCAAAATGGATTAAGGACCTAAATATGCAAACTAAAACCATAAAATTCTTAGAAGAACAAGCAGGGATTAACGCTGTCAGGCCTACCTTTAAACAATGGGTTATCTAATATAATAACAAAAGCACAAACAGCAAAAAACAAAATAAACGGGATCTCATAAAAATTAAAAAACTTTTGTTCATCAAAAGACTTTACCAAAAAAGTAAAAAGACAAACTACCCACTGGGAGAATATCTTCAGAAACCATATATCCGACAAGAATCTAATAACCAAAATATGTATAAAACTTTGACAACAACAAAAAGACAAATAACCCAATCATAAAATAGGCAAAGGATTCGAATAGACATTTCACCAAAGAGGACATTCAAATGGGCACCAAACACATGAAAAGATGCTCAGCGTCATCAGCCATCAGAGAGATGCAGACCAAAACCACAATGAGATACCTCTTCACTCCCATTAGGATGGCTAAGATTGAAAAAACAGAAAATAACAAATGTCGGCCAGCATGTGGGGCAATTGGAACCCTTATCTATTGCTGATGGAAATGCAAAATGGTACAGCCGTTGTGGAAAACCGCATGGCAGTTCCTCAAAAAACTAAAAATAGAACTACCAATAGAACTACCCAGCAATTCCACTCCAAGGTATGTACCCAAAAGACTTCAAAGCAGACTCAAAAAGAGACTTGTACACCGTTGTTTACTGCAGCAGTATTCACAATAGACAAAAGGTGGAAACAAGCTAAATGCACATCAACAGATAACTGAATAAACTAAAATGTTTCACATACATACAATGGAATACTACTCAGCCAGTAGGAGAAATGAAATATTGATATATGCTACAGTATGGATGGAGCCTGATGACATGTTGAGTGACATAAGCCAGTCACAAAAGGACAAATACTGTATGACCTCACTTATATAAAAAGACAAATGTACAGAGACCAAAGTTTATTAGTGGTTACCAGGGACGAGAGGGAGGGGTTGGTGGTAAAATCGTACTGATTCAGAGTAGGGTTGCATAGTCAATTATTGTAATTGCTGTCAATAAGTTGTACACCTGTAAAAAGTTAAATTGGCAAAAGCTATGTGATAGATATATTTAAATAAAGACCAAAAAAAAAAAAAAAAGAGTAGCTGCTGAGGCTACTTATATACAACTAAATACCTCAAGGGATTTGGTTCCTTGGTTTGGAGGGTTAGGGTCATGGTTTCATGGGACATCCCAGTTAACTGGCCTAATAATGTGTTTAGCGCTTCTGTTCTACCTCCTAGTTCACTGTGTAGTGCCTGGGGTCTTAAAAGCTTACAAGTGGTCATCCAAGGCACAACAATTGGTCTCTATTCACCTTGAGCAATAGAGGAAGAAGGAGAGTCAGGAACAGGATGAGGATGTGGAATTTGTGGCTAACTGCCTCCATGAAAAACTGCTTCCTTTACCATGAGACAAGAAGAACTGGATGGTGCCTCGCTACTGTTAGAGTACTTTGATCAAAGATTCCATAGAAGAAACCTGACCAAAAGGGGGAAAATGCAGAACAGAACCTCAAATTCTCATAGACTCTAGACTTTTTAGAGCCATGAAGAGTGGATGAACCCCTGAAACTACTGCCCTGAGATAATCTTTAAATCTTAAATCAAAACTATCCCCTGAAGTCATCTTAAAACTGATCAACAGTTTAGCTTAACTAGTAAAAAAGGCCTGCCTTGACCATTATGCTCTTTTAAGAATTATCTATACGGGGTTAAACTGACAACAGCAACTCAAAAAAATTAGATAGGAACCTTAGGGGGGCTGTGAGTTTATGTTAAAGAGGGAAGAACAACTCAGCAAAGGAGGGTAAGGATGGCTGCACAACTCGAAGAATGTAATCAATGTCCCTAAATTGTACATGTAGAAACCCTTGAACTGGTGTATGTTATGCTGTGTATACTCTCAGCAACAACAACAAAATAAATAAAATTGGTGGGGGGGGGAGGTAACTTGCCCAAGGTTAGATAGACATTAAGCAGCAAAGTGCATTATTCAAATTCAAGTCTGATGTCAAAGCACATGGCCTACTAGACCATAATGCAAGAGTTTTGTACCACATTGCCTATAAGCTAAATTCATGTTTGTGTTCTAGCACCTGGAACACAGGCCATATGTCTATTAAGCAAGGATAACAGGTTCATGAACCATCAAGATCTGTCTTTATATAAACACATAACCCCACTAGGTACTGCCACTGCCTTCCAAATTGAATTCTTCCTATGAAGGCTGTAGGAATCTGAAGCAACCTCTCTGCCTGGTATATATATTAAATGTTATGTCTGTGTGTATTTCAATTGTGTTTGCATGTGTGTGCATAACAGAAATTAGAAAAAAAATCTTATTCTTTGAAGGGCTGCCAGCTTAGTTACATGTAAGACAATAATGTGAGCAGAAACAAGTCAACTGATTCAGGCAGGGGTGGATTATCCAATAAGCAAGCTAAAGAGAGTGCTTACCTTGTTTACCAGATCATCTGTAGTGAAACTGTTCATTACAGATTAGTTAGTAAGCACCTTGCTTACTAGGTCATCTGCCCCATCAAGGACTGTAGATTTGAAAAGAGGCTTTGACTCTGTAGGAGGGTGCTGTGGTATTGGGAGAGAGACAGATGCCAAA